CTAGCGTCTGTCGATCGGTATATTCAGTCTAATTGTATTGTGTTTTCCTGTTAAAGTCCTGTAGGTGCCGCGTCGTTGTCTTCAACTATCTTGACAAGTTGAGGGATAGATGTCGTCCTACATTTCGGCCATCCTGAGCGTCTATTCGGCCTCGAATGGAGTGTTCCATCTTTTCATGAATTCGGCGACAGAAACAGTATGGTTGGGGCCCTCATGATCTCCGACTTTGGTGACTTTGTACCGGCCATGGTCCGTTATTTTGGTTATTTTGTACGGCCCGAGGAATTTTGGCTTCAGTTTTAGTCCTGTCCCGTACTGAGTCCGCTTTATGGCTACCAGGTTCGTTCAGACTGTAGACTGTTTCGGCTTGACGGCGTGCGTTGAAGGTTCGTTGATTTTCGGTTTGGATAGCGGCGATGTTTTCCTGCGCTTGTTGGCGCGCCGCTTCTCTATCTGCTTCAAGTTCGTCCACAGCTGCTTCCTCTAGTAGCTCCTGCAACTGAACCATTCCTTGGACGCGCATTTCCAGGCCCGTCAGTATTCGGAACGGCGAGTGTTTGGTACTTCTCGGTGGGGAGCTATTGTTGAGCTGCTGGACTCGATCTACGTGTTTGTACCAACTCCTTTGCTTCCGTTACACAGTTTGGCCTGCATAGGGACGACGATTCGATGCATACGCTCTACTTGGCCGTTACCTCTCGGCACACCCGTCGCTATCAGTAGATGCAGAATTCCCTCGCAATCGCAATACTCCTTGAAGATGGTTGACGTAAAGGCCGCGCCTCGGTCAGTAATAATACGCCTGGGGTTGCCAAAGACCGTTCCTTGCTTCTGCAGACGATCGACAACTGCCTCTGCGCCCGTGGTCTTGGTAGGATATAGCCAAACGAATTTCGAAAAGGCATCCACCACCACCAGTATGTGATTATAAGCTTTCTTGGTTGATTCCATCGGACCTACAGGGTCAATGGGGAAAGTGGCCAGTGGTTTGTCCTCCTTATCGATGGTATTAAGGTACCCTTCCTTCTTCCCCGCTTTTGTATCTGTAACCAGACATTCCACACAGCTCCTCACTATCCTAGCCGACTTTAGAACGATTTCTCCACCACCTCATGGGTCTTTTTGGCGGAAAAGTGCCCCTGTCTGTGCGCCGTTTGGATGATCTCGTCTTCCATGGGCGATGGTACAACTATGAGCTCCTTCGTGGGGTCTTTATTCAGGATATCGTGCTTTATATAAAAGTCCTCGTACTCTTCTTTTTCCAGCACCTTCCGGACCGCTCGTATCCAATCGTAATCGCGTAATTGCGCTTCTTTCAATCGGTGAATTAGCGAGTTTCCAACATAAGGCATGGCACTCTGCTCAGCGCATCCACATGACGCATTTTCGTTCCACTGCGGTGCTCGATCTCATAATTGAAGTATTGCAGGAACATCGCCCAGTGGGATACTCTTGATGGGATATCTCGCTTCTTCATTGTCATGGTGAACGCGTTGCAGTCCTGCCAGGTACACTCTCCCTTTCTTGAGGGCTTCCACAATCCCTAATATCTCCAGCTCATATGACTCGTACCTCTCCTCACACGGCTTAGTCTTACGGCTCATGTATTGCACGGGGTGGAGTTCTTGGTCGTCGACGTCTTTCTGCAACATAACTGCACCGTAGCCGTACATACACGCGTCCGTGTGGACCTCGGTCGCTGATTATATAATTTTAGAACTGGCGAGTGCACCAAGGCCGATTTCAATTGCTGGATTGCCGCTAGCTGCTCATCTCAACTCGAACCTTGCATCTTTCCTCAATAGGTCTGTTGAGAAGCAACCCTGCATCTGCAAAGCACATAGCATGCAACGGCCATCCTCACAGTTTTTGACATTTTCCTTTTGATAGATTATTTTCTCCGTAAGTTGGGTTCGTTTTGCGCTCAAGAGCTGACCTCGTGTTAATTTGCAAAATACTTATCAATTAAATTGTATAAGCTCAAATAAACTTTATTAATCGATATTAAAGAAACAAAACCTGCGCTTCTTTTGATTTCAAACATTGGCATCCCTTGCGGGGAACTGTGCGACAGTTTCCATAAAATTATCAATTAAACTATAACCTCAACTGCACTAATAAGTATGGCCTTGCAAAGGGAAGAGGCCACCGCAAAGCTCATTTTGAATTTTTCGGCAAATACGCGTAAGGTGGCAAAGCAAAAGCAGACAAAAGGTTTCTTTGTTGCCCGAAAACGCTTACTGGAGGACTATTGGGCGAGATATACCACTACGTATGACGAAATCTTGACCATGGAGTCCACCAACGAAAATGAGGCGAAGCTGGCACGTGTCTTAAGTGGAGATTATTTCGGCAACATAGAGGCTGTTTACTGCGAAACTATTGGTGAGCTCAATGATTGCATTGATGAGTTGACGGCTGCTATTCAACCTGCCGCAAATTCAACTCAGTCAATAACCTATGAATCACAGCCGGCTTCGATAGCCGCACCAAAATCAATTTTACCGAAAATAGAACTTCCGAAGTTCGAAGGTACATATCAAGGGTGGCTGCAGTTTAAAGATATGTTCACTACAATTGTAATAAACGATGCAGCACTCTCGAATGTACAACGATTACATTACCTCAAAAGCTGTACTCAAGGTGAAGCGCAAAACCTGCTGAAAAATATACCGGTAACCGACAACAATTTCCAAATTGCTTGGGACATTTTAACTAACCGATTTGATAACAAGAGGCGCCTTGTTAAAACATTCTTACAAGAAATAGTTCGAATTCCACCTGCCCAAAGTGAGTCTGCAGCTTCGTTGCGTAAAATCTTAGACAGTATAGCTGAGGCTCTTCGCGCCCTTTGCCAACTGGGGTGTCCTACTTCGCATTGGAACGACTGGCTTATATTTTTGGTTACAGAGAAACTGGATCCAATCACTATAAGAGATTGGGAAATATCACTTTCATCCCCAAATTATATTCCAAAATACGACGAGTTGGTTAAGTTTCTCGAAGCTCGTATCCAAGGCCTAGACACCATGGTAGACAAAGCGAATTCAAGGTCAGGGGACAACGTTGGTCGACGAAATCCATCTTCAACGCACCACTCAACCGGCAACGCGTCGCGTTGCAGCAGTTGCTCTGGAAAACATGCTCTTATGTTTTGTCCAGACTTTCGAAAACTCTCTTCGTCATTAAAACTTAATTTCGTCCAAAAATCTAAGCTGTGCATGAATTGCTTAAAACCAGGGCATGTGGTCAAAACATGTTCATCCACATATTTATGTCAGAGGTGTCAACAAAAGCACCACACTATGCTACACGACGGTCTACAAGCGCAATCAGGCGTAGTCGCATCCCATCACTCACGTTCGTTTGAAGCTTCTATATCAAACCCGGGCCAAGTAGTGCTTGCTACAGCCCAGATTGAGGTAAGTTCAGCGACTGGTCATCGCATGCGACTCAGGGCGCTATTAGATAGTGGCTCTCAAGCCTCATTTATCAGTGAGTTTGCTGCACAGCAGTTACACCTACGACGCACCCGACTTAAAGTGCCTGTTACGGGAATAGGTTGCTCATCGGTCGGAACGTCCACTGGTATGGTCGAGATTACCGTGCACTCTATACGGAAATCAGATTTCAACATTCGATGTTCAGCCTTAATACTGCCACAATTAAGTCAGCAGCTACCGAGCTCTCCCATGGATCCCACTCATTTCTCCAATTTTAAAGATCTAAGTCTTGCAGATCCCCAATTTTATCAGCCCGGGTCCATAGATGTTATTTTGGGGGCTGATATCTATGGGCACCTTATTTGTGGCGAGATGCGGCAGACCACGACTGACGCTCTGTTCGCGTTACATACACAACTAGGCTGGGTTATTCTCGGACGCTATCCGGAATCAACGGACCAATTAAGCGCAAAACTGTGTGCTTCAACAATTACGGAGCTTGATGAACTGGTTAAAGACTTATGGGCCTTTAACTCGTGCGAAAAGGTGGAGTCGTCATCATGTCTGACTCTCGATGAACAATACTGTGAAGAGTTTTTCGAGCAAACCGTACGCCGGACCTGCTCCGGCCGATATATCGTCCGCTACCCATTTCGTGAACAAGCAAATCTCTCCGTTCTTGCAGATAGTAAGTTTGATGCCGTGAAAATTTTTCATTATCAGAATAAGAACCTTGCAAAAGATCCATATTTGAAAAATCTGTACGAAGAATTCTTGTCCGAATATTTACGCCTTGGACACATGGAACCAGTTTACGAAGAGACAGAGCCATCTAATGTATGCTACATTCCACATCATGCGGTGTACAAAGAGTCCAGTTCAACTACCAAACTAAGAACAGTTTTCAACGCGTCGAGGAGAACCCGCTCTGGTGTTTCTTTAAATGATTGCCTACTTGTCGGTCCAAAGCTTCAAAATGACTTGTCATCGATTATACTAAGATGGCGTATGCACAGAATTGCTTTTATGGCTGACATAGAAAAATGCTTCAGGCAAATTATGGTAGATCGTGAGGACGCTGATATGCAGCGGATAGTTTGGAAAGACTCAGAAAACAACATGTGCATTTACCGCCTGCTTACTGTAACATATGGCTTGAATTGTTCACCATATCTGACTATAAAGGTTCTCCATACCCTAGCCGAAGATGAAGGTGGTGACTGTCCCCGAGCAGCTGCAACTCTGAAAGAATGCTTCTATGTGGACGATTGCTTAAGTGGTACAGATACGGTTGGAGAAGCTGTACAACTGCAGCAACAAGTCCAAGAATTATTACTTCGTGGTGGATTTACCCTCCGAAAATGGAACTCCAATTCTTCGGACTTCTTACAAGGGATAAGTGGTAAAAACTGTGGGCATGACGATTTGTGTGATTTGAGCTTAGACCGTAATACCAAAGCACTCGGTATCTACTGGTCATGCAACGAGGACGTCATCGGGTACACTGCCAAAGAAAACCCAGTATCTTCTAAAATTACTAAGAGGCAGCAACTTTCCGACATAGCAAGAGTTTATGATCCCACATGTCTCCTGGCTCCGGTGATTATAACGGGAAAGCGTGTGTGTCAAGACTTGTGGCGACGTGGTTGTGCGTGGGATGACCCACTACCTGAACCACTTCAAAGCGAATGGCAGAGATTTCGCAGGGAACTTCCTTTGATCAACAAGATCAAAATTCCTCGATGGACTTTCTCAACAGCTGATTCGTCTGAACAGCTCCATATATTTTGTGATGCTTCTACGGCAGCCTATGCAGCCGTGTCATATCTACGAGTGGTTCAGCCGAGTGGAGATATCAAAGTATCAATACTAATGGCTAAAACAAAGGTAGCACCGTTAAAAATGCGTACCATACCTCAGTTGGAATTGAATGGAGCATTACTTGCTGCGACCCTATCCGCGAGAATCCTGGATGATATTCAACGAAAGGTTACGCAAACGTTTTACTGGTGTGACTCCAAAACGGTGCTTAGTTGGATTCGGTCCGACCCCGGTCAGCATAAGCAATACATCGCTAATCGATTAATAAGGATTCAGCAGCTAACTGACGCCAAGGCTTGGAGCTACGTTCCCACTTCCTCAAACCCGGCTGATGTTGCTTCTCGCGGCATCTATCCAGCTGAACTCGAAAAACTTAGTATTTGGTGGATGGGACCGTCCTGGCTACAGCCTGCGCCTATCAGTAACTGCTTCCCGTATATGAACATTTGTTGCTGACTCCACTGGACGACCGTAGCATTCTCCTCGAAATCTTCAAGCCATTTTTCGAAACTTGGCTGGCCGGATCCGCTGAACTTCGTTAAGGATTCTTCAATGTCGCGGAGGGTGAATACCGAACGCTGAACTACCGTCCTGGGCACGCTACGTTGGCTAGCCGAATCTTCAAAATCATCAGCCTCACTATCGCTAACGTTCAGGCCGAAATGCTCCAACAACCTATCCTGTAATGTAGCCTGGCGTCCGTTTGTCGCTAGGCCCAACCCTTCCAACTTTTCCTTAAACTCGTCCACTGTCAGACCGAGAATTTGGTCACGGTCCATGTCTTACAAAGTTTCTAAATTAACGTGTGATAAACAATTCAAATAGACATTCACAATTTGATATGAAATGAAAGACGATACTTTTGACGAAATTGCTCTTTACATTTAAATGATGAATAGTAAATGCGAATTATATTCTTCTTTTCTTGTGTAGTTTAAACTTTTAGGATAACGGGATCCTACAACTGCATAACTATATTACAGTGTTGTCTGCTGTTATCCGCGAAATCAAAAATTAAACCTTTTTTTTAATTCTACGATTCTAAGCATATACGCGCCTGCCGCCTTTACTATACTGTTAGATATGTTTTATGTACATAAACTCTTAAAGGTACAATATAATTTCTTAACATAGTAAAACATCCACTTAGCTGCACTGTAATCCCTCGCTGCTGTCTACTGTACACAACCCATATGCTTTGTTGCTGTTGTTCTCTTCCGCTATGCTTGGTGGTCGCTGCTGCAGTTCACCGCTGACAGCGCTGCCTGGCTCCGGCGCCGTTGCTGCTTGCCGCACCAAATATATGTGCGCTTTTCCGTGACACGCTGCTTTACGTGTACGCTCAGCGACGCTGTTTGCTGCGCAATTTGTGTTTGGTTTCGACGACTCGCCGGTTTATGTAATCTCTCGGCGTTACTGCTTGCTGCACAAATTTCGTTTTGCCTTACGATGATTCGCCGCTTTAAGTATTCGCTCGGCGTCGATGCTTGCTGCACAGATTGTGTGTGCGCTACGTGCACTCGTTGCTTTGTGAACAACGGAAAATATGGCGTGACTAGCTTGATTTGCCACTATGGAACTACCGTTGCCTATCCCACTAGCGGATTAGCCGAATATACCGCTAAAAATATTTTAGGTTTTGTACTGTTCTTTTCACATTTTAATTTTGATACAAGTTTTTATCTCTTGGCGGCACTACCCACTGCTTTTCAGTATTACTGTTGCACGATTTAACGATCGGACGCAACTATGCACCCTGCTAGTACATATGCATGTAGAGCTCACTTCCACTAAACTCCACTTCCACAATATTCGGCGTTCTGCCACTGTTCTGGCGCTGGATATTTTTGTGGTGCGATATGGAGGACTACACAAAACCATCACCGGCTTTTGCACTATTTTAAATGTGTTTAGTGTTCGCGCACTCAACCGTTTGCATTTATGTATACGTATATAAGAGCGCGTATACTTTCCGTTTTTAAAGAAACTAAGAACGCGCACTGCCACTATGTGGAATATCGAGTTCCACTTCTGGCACCAATTTGTAGAATTGATAGCCGAGTTTTGTGGTTTAGTTTAAGTCTTTTATTAAAAGTTAACACATAAAAATTATTCGAATACAAAGTAGACTGCGATGTGCGCTTGGCGGCGGCTTACAATATTCTGACCAAATGGATACTCTTCGTACGGTCCGTTCGTTTCCTAGTGTCTGTCGATCGGTATATTCAGTCTAATTGTATTGTGTTTTCAACTGTGCCTTAGACGGTCCCAAGCCCGGTTTGAGAAAACAGGAGGGAAGACAGGGGGCTTTGGTATTTCCAGGGTACGGGCTTGACAACCCCGTCTACCCCAGTTAAAGGCTACCAGTCCTGAGTCGGTGGAGGTTCAACTGGAAGAAGTCTACGGCTTTCGAGAGTCATACCAAAGACTTTAAAAATGGTGCCACGGGGAACAGATGCCCCCGGAGTGTTTTCGTCGGCGAGACGAGCAAAACTGGTGACACAAACAAGGCTTGCAAGGCAGGCAAGGCAAACACTGGCATGGCTTACACGACTAGAAAATGGAGAAAATGGTGAAAATGGAGATAATGGAGAAAACAGTTGTAATTGGAGCAAAAGTGTGGTGGAAACCGC